TATATAACAACATCTAGGATATTTTATTTCTTCTGCTTCCATGTAGGGCTTTTATTTGGTTCTCTTGAGAGTGTTGAACTAGACCCCAGAGGTTACCTTTTTTATCATTCTAAGCGTACCAAAGTTGTTTGGTGCAGGTGGAAATGAGTATGGACAGTGTAGTGAAGAACCTGAGCGGAAAGATGACACTGGTAGACCTTTGAGAAGGGATATAGTGATCCCTCAGTGCTGTGCACCGAAGCTTGTAGTCCGCCAGGTGAGTTACAAATGCCAAAGAGTAGAACATTGACCTGCATGATACGAATTTTTGGATGTGGGATGCCCCTGTTTCTCGAGTGACATCTTTTTCCATAAAGTTTTACATTTTCTGATTTTTACATCACAGGTAGCTGCTGGGGGTACTCACTCTGTGGTACTTACACATGATGGGCAAGTATGGACCTGGGGTCAGCCGTGGCCTCCAGGAGACATGTATGTTTCCCTTAGACTTGACTATATCAATTTCTTTTCAAGCACTCCTTTGATGGCAACCTACTTTCTGGGTTGTACTATATCAAACATGTTTCATACGTTAATAGTTACGTGCATAGTTGTAATTGAGAACTCATGGGACTGTTATTTATCCTAGAATGCTCTGTGAACTTTTCTTCTTATTTTCATAAAACAAATTTCAACACCTGTGCGAGTACAAGGTCTTGATGCAGTGAAGCTCATTGCAGTTGGGGCATTTCATAATTTGGCTCTTCAAGAGGATGGTACTTTATGGGCATGGGGTAACAATGAATATGGACAGCTTGGAACTGGAGATACCCAGCGTAGATCACAACCTATTCCTGTCCAGGGTCTTTCTGGTCTTACTTTGGTTTGTAATACATTGCCTTTTATCTCTGTTTCATTTCTGGTAGTCATTTATGCCTAGCACCATGTGTGCTTATCTCAATTTCATCTGAATGTGTGCCTTCTTCATATTGAAATCCACTGAAGTGTATTGTTCCAGACCTAGTTTTATTTCTTCATGATTGAGTTATCTTGTGAAGAAGTTTTGAATCTTTTTAGACCATATTGTCCTTATATACAGATTTTGGTTCGGCAGATTTGGGAGCATGTGATGTATTGGTGTGAAAAATGTGCATAGGCTTAAGGCAGAAGTGGGGCATCTATAGAGGTGAACTTATGTGGCAGTTAGTTGGGCTTGCTGATACAGACCTGGGTTTCCTTTGACACATACCTTTAGCGATAGAAACATTTAAAACTGCATGTATGATATCTTGCAAAAACAGTTTTGAAGACATGGGTATGTTTCTTTGTGAAGCCCTGAAAAAATCCCTTTATATCATTTAAAAGAACTGAAAATGCAAGTGTGTTAGTCACAAAATATTTTATGATCAAATTAGTAGAATTTGTGAGCTCTCCATTATTTATAATTATAAGTAGGAAGTATGTATGTAATAGAGCAAAGATTGGTTGACTATGTAATAACAATTGAATTTTCAAGTTTTATGAAAGAAATAATTTTTGAGCATATATATTCGTTAATGAAGCATTATAATTGGTTTTCTAGTTAAAATCGTTGTATATAATCATAGGAAACAAAAACCTAAATGTAACAACTTGGGAATGTATTAGACGACAGATTTAAAGATAATAAAATGTAGTCTAAATTGTTAGAGTTCGGTGGCGATTTATTTTGCATGTCTAAATTGTAGTCTGTAATGGTTGTGTATATTGTATGTAGATTGACTTAATATTGTTGTCCTATTGGATGTGTATTGTACTAATATTGCCTTTGTATTGCATACATATTGTATGCATATTGTAACCCTATTGCATGTATATTGTGATGTTATTTCTGTCGTATTGCGGTTATATTGCCCTAATATTGCCTCTCTAGTGTATGCATATTGGCCTAATATTGCTATTATATAATGACCAGAAAGAAACAACGTGCCTTTCAAAAACAGGCAGTCATGTGCATTATAATTGCACCTTAAGACATTGTAAGAAAGGAAGGTGGTTTGGGTGGTGGTTATAAAAAAAGAAAGGTATTAATAAATATGCAAATGCTTCGTGATAGTTGAAGAAAAGGATGATTACATTTAGTGGTTTGATTATGTTTGGTGATACGATATGTTGTTCGTCTTAATCTTCATATATGTAATTGTTGTATTAATACTTGATACAAATTCATCTCGTAATCATCCAATTATTAAAGCTAAGTAAATGAAATGAAACAAAAGAAGAAGCCCAAAATAAACAGAAACAGCAAGAGAACAAGTTACAAATCCTGTCTCATAACAATGCACTTGGAAAAAGTTTAATTTCTTATTTTTCTTATTTTTCACAAGCCCATATACACATGCAAAACTCCCAACTTCATATATAATACATATAAGCATCTCACATCCCCATTATTACATGTTACAACACTTTAAGTTTACACAACCAGCAGATTACAAATAACTCACAAACTGTCTGATTGCCTGCCTGCCTGCACAATCTCTATCATCTTTCTTATGGGATGGGATGCACAACCACCTTCCCTGTAGCCCTGGAAGTTTCAAGGTAGGCAAATGCTTCAACAGTCTTGGAAAAGGGATATGGGCCTGTGGGATCAAGCACCGGCTTCACCTTCCCACTCTCCAAGTATGGCTTCAGCTTCCCAATACAGTCCCAGTTGAAGTCAGTACAAAATGGACGGCCGGTGCTGCTGCTGCACGACCTGATACTATTGTCACTACTTTCCCACCTTCTTTCACTGCCTTCACTGCCCTATCAGACTCCCCTGTTTTTTTTTGTTTTTTGTTTTTTTGGCGAAAAACATCATAAAATAATATGAGTCTTTGATTCATTCCTGGTAACTAAATAAACCAATAAACTCCCCTGTTGGTGGGTGCATGCCTTATACGGATGACATCATGTATCGAATTGTTAAAGAAACCAGAATGAAGAATCTTACCAACTGTATCATATACCACATCAAATTTCTCAGGCAATTCCTCAAACTTCTCCTTGGTGTAGTCGACCGCCAAATCAGCACCCAAGCTTCTCAACAGCTCCAGTTTTCTAGTGCTTGCAGTTGCTGCTACTTTGGAAGCACCAAAAACATGCTTTGCTAGCTGCCCAAATTAGTGGAAATGGTTTCACTTTAATTCCATATACAGTTTGTGGTATATATAGCCTCAGGACATTTTGGTATTAGAAATAAAATTACTTTACCTGAATAACATGTGTGCCCACCCCCCCAGCACCTCCTAAAACAAGAATGGATTTACCAGCAGAAAATTCAGTTCGTTCAAGCCCTTCATAGGCAGTCTCAATAGCCAGGGGAAGGCTAGCAGCTTCAATGAAACTCAGATTTTTGGGTTTCAGAGCCAAAACTCTTTCTTCTGCAGCAGTGTACTCTGCCAAAGACCCAAACCTTTTTGGGTTCTGCACAGCTTTCTCATTGAGATCCCCATATACTTCATCCCCACCTTAAACTTTGTTACTTGACTTCCCACTTTCACCACCACACCAGGAACATCATACCCTGGAACAGTCTGCAAAACAAATTAATTCAAAAAACAAGAATTCTTTCTACATTCTTTGTAACTTGCCAGCCCAGCTGTTTACTAGTAACAGTGAACATGCTAAATGGTAACATGCAATAGAAACATAACAAGGTGACAAAACTTCCTCCATTAAAACCCAATTCTGAATAAAATGAAAGAGAAAGAGACTCTCACAGGTAGAGGAGAGTCAGTGGCCTTAAAATACCCAAACATCCTCTTGTAATCAACTGGGTTAAGAGCTGCAGCAACCACCTTGATGAAAGCTCCTCCTTGCTAAATCCCTTGCAATTATTGCAAGAGCTAAATGAAAGCTCCTCCTTTTTGCAAACCTTGGCCTTCACACTGCTGGCCATTTTCCTTGTCCTCCTATACACATGGTACTCTTCGACTAAAACCACCACCCAAAATCATAGATATGAAACCAATTTCAAAACCATATCAGATGACCCAAAATAAAAACCCATCACCCAATCCTTACCTAAAATCACAATCACAATAAAGAAAAATAAATTAGGGAAACCTGAAGCCCATATTAGATATCTCATCAATTCCAAACCCTAGACTCTAGAGAAACCCCTAAACCAATTTGGAAGAAACCCCTAAACCAATTTCATACAAATCCATACACCATAAACCAAATTCACAAAAACCCCAAATTTCAAAGAAAAGGTTTATGAACAGTACCTCGTAGATGTCAACGATGGAGTTACGCTTGGATGAACAGCCACCGTTGAGGGAGAAAGACGATTGTGTTGAAGAGAGAGAGGTACACGAGGGAGAGAGACGGACCGAAGAGATAGAGCCACGAGAGCTAGAGAGAGAAGCCAATTTCTGAAAAACTGATATGGGAACAATAAGTGGACAATAATTTTATATTTATAGGTAGTAGTTGTAAAAAAATTAGGAAGGGGTGGTATTTTTAGTTAAAATTATGAAATGGATGGCATTTTAAGCTATTTCCCGGGCTTTTTTGGTTGATGACATTTGTTTTGTATTTGTTCTTGGGCTTTGCCCTCTTTTTATTTAATTCTTGTTAATTGTTAAAACAAAGTGCGAAAGAATATTTAAATGTATGCAGTATGCACTGAAGAAAAGAAGGGTGGTTCCCTTTCCCCTTCCCCTTCTGCTCTCCCTCGATCAATATCTCAAGGTCATTGGAACCTTAGGACAATCTTCTTTCTACTTCTTCTTGCCATCATCCTGTTCCTGTGGAAACAGTGGGTTTGGTATGTGACGACTGACCTCCGTAGCCGGATTGCCTGCTACAGTAATGGCAATAATTTTGCACAGACAAAACAATTTCGAATGCCTTTGATTTGAGGAAGCATCTTTTAGGGGCTGGGGCAAATACTACACATATAAACACATAGCTGCTGTGATATCAACATAAATCCCTTCTTTCCTTTTTCCAATGCGAAACAAAATACTATTAACAGTCAATAAGGTACAACAATTACAAACAGAGTTTACACAAAAGTAATAGTAATAGATAGAGGAGATCCAATGGCTACCGCTAAAGCTAATCCTAGTCATAAAACCAACTATAACACTAGCAATGTGACCTGAAAATCCTAATCTCTGGTAACTTGTTCTATTTAGTTTTTATTCTAGTTACTTAATAATGAGTGCTGTTATTTAGTTTTGATTCCAGTAACTTGTTCAATTTAGTTTTGATTTTAGAGGAGGTAAGATATTGAATGCTGTTATTTACCTGGCTTTTGTTCACCAATATTTGTTGTATTTGGTAGCAAAGGAGATATCCCATCTCCCACAGAGTTATCTATCTACCCAACTTTTGTTTTCCAGCATCTCCATTTCACTTTATTTGTTGGTGTTCCTCTTTCAGGAAATTATCAGAATTATGCTTATCATGCGGGGCCAAGATAGGATTAGCCAGTTGCCTCATCACCTTCTTTCTCGTATCCTTTCCTTCCTGCCAATCGAGGATGCGGTAGCTACTAGCATCCTTTCCACAAAATGGACAACATATGGACCCTAGTCCCTGTCATTGACAACTCAATACAAGTCGACCAAGATCAATTTGTAACGACCCGGTCCTAAATACATTGGTAAATATTAATTTATTCAGTTAAAATATCATTTTGCCCATATAATATTTTATTAAGTTTAAAGTTGACTTTTTGACCGTGAAGGAATTTAGGAATTTTGATTGCACCGTTGCGTAGAGCATGGCGAGATGAGTCCGTAGACACGTAGTGGGCTTGAATCGGAGCTATAACGAAGAAGTTACGAGCAAAATATTATCAGTGGCATAATCGTAATTTTTGCAAAAAGGGTTTCATAAAAATCTGATCTCTCTCTCTCTCTCACCCCGCTCAGCCTCTCTCTCTCCTCACGATGACCACCACAGCCAGCCATGTTTTGGCCGGCGGTTTTCTCATCCGGCCACTAAAGCTGACGGGGCCTGTACCAAAATGACCGGGCCTCCATCCTCTTCCAACCCCAGCCAGGTCCCGCCTCCTGCCGCCGCGATTTGGCCGGAAAATCAAAGAGAAACTGCCGGTTTTCGCTTGAAATTCTCCGACTTCGTTATCCGTCATCCGGCCACCATTTCCGTCAAGTGAGGTATGCTTTCTCACCTATTTTTCATGATCTAGCTGATGGTTGGGTAGGATTGCATCAATTTTGGGCCTAGATTGTCTGATTTTCGAATTGGATTTTGGCCGGTTTTTGGATCGCGATTCCGGCCAATTCCGGTCAGTTTTTGGGTAGGTCCAAGAACAAAAGTGGTTCCAATTGGGGTGTTTTACCTAGGGTAGGAGCCTTGAGTCGTGATTTTGAGTTTTTTCGGCGAAAGGTTATCGCTTTGGACACCCATGCGCTGCCGGCGCGTGTGCGGCGCGTGGGCACTGTAGAAAATGGGCATTTTGTCCCGATGTAATCTCCTTGTCTTCACGAGTGCATAGGTGTGCTCGGATTTTAATTTAGATATCGTTTGATCGTCGATTGGATATCGCATATTGTGCGTTATCCGGGTTCGATAGGTTTGAACTGTTGGATAGTCTTAAATTTATAATATGTTGATCTAGGCACTCATAGAATCGTGTAGGAATTCACGGATCGTAGATCGGAGCCCCGGATGTTCCGATTTAATAACTTGAAGTTTGTGTTTCATAATAACCGTCCGATCGAGCGATTGCGAGCGATCCGACCATCCGATTCGGACCAAACTTTTAGGACGTGTATCCTAAACCTTGCATAACCCATAGGAACTTTCGGATCAGAATTGGGAGGTTGCGGGCCCTGTGGGCCCTTTTGACCGAGTTTGGGTAGTTTGACCCTTGGTTGACCATGAGTCTTCCGAGATAGTTTTACCTTCCCAGGAGGATTAAAATGACCGTAGTGACAGGTTTGATCGTTAGTTGAGTCACGTTGATTATGTAGGATTTAGGATATTAATTTATTGTTTTAAACTGGGGGGTTATCGGATGCTATAGTGTGGTTGAGGTTTTTGAAATATTAGAAATTTATATATATATATATATATAAAGAGATTTTGGGCATAAGATTGAGAAATTTGTATATAATAATAATAGTAACATTCAATCGGGAAATGATATGATTGCTAGGTCTCACGTGGCGTAAGATTTTCCGGCGTTGGACAAACCCTATACGTGGCGTTCGATTTTCCCGCGTATAGGGAGATTATGATATAATTGTTAGGTCACACGTGGCGTAGGATTTTCCGGCGTATTGACAGACCCCATAAGTGACGTTGGATTTTCCGACGTATAGGGAGATTATGTGATTATTAGAGAGATGAATTAAGGGTTGTTATACTATGTTAGGAAAGAAAATGTTACAAAAGGATTGTGATTGATAAGTTGTGATTTAAAGAAAAGGGAAAGGGATAAATTGTAGAATTTGTTGTTTTGTATTACTGTTATTGATTGTATGTTATTGGAACCGGGATTTCGGTTGAAAGAACTACGTGTGGCTTGATCCCTTAGTAAGGGTACGTAGGCAGCCTAGGGTAGTGCCTAGGTGCAGTCGCGAGCTAAATTTTACTCATGTTATTTTATTGAGATTGGTTCGGACCTTGTCGTTGGTCCTGAAATTTGGGCGAAAATGAGATGCAGTCGTGTTAGGAGGTTAAAACTTCGTATGTTGGATATTTGGGAAGTTAGATGATGGAAATTGCATTTGGCATTCATAAATGTGTTTGAGTTTATATTTGCCTTGTTTAAGGTACTATTTGGCTTAAGGACCTTATTGGTAGTTTGGTTACCGATGATTTGAAGGTCGGAGGCCGAGTTTGTGAATTGCATGAAATTATCTTGTGTATGCTGTCGGTTGGTGATATTAAATATGTTTTATGCAGGTTGAAATTTTTGGGAAATGTTCAATCTACAGGGGAGATTCTGCCGAATTTTCGGTAGAAAGTCTCGTGCCCTTATTCCTTTTTGGGAAAAGAGGATATAGTTTCAGAAGTGGGCTCGACATTGGGGTGATGTCGAGAATTCCACAGGATTCGTCTCGGGTTCTGAGGAATTCGGGGTGGGTCCTGTCACAATTCTACACCATTGTCAACTCAAATCTACACCACCCGATGGCTGCGCCTTTTCCACTTCATAAGTTCATCCTTAAGTGCGACCGATGCACCAGTCATTCTGCAATCAACAATCTGATTCGGGCCGCTCTTGACCGCCAAGTGAAGGAGCTGGACCTTTACATTGCTCCACATGACATATAGCATAAATTCCCGCTGCCTATGGAAGTATATAAAAACCAGCATCTCAAAGTTTTGAAATTGAGCAGAGTAAGGGTTCATGATGATGAGCCACCAGGTTCTTTCCCATCTTTGAAGAATTTGCAAGTGGATATCTTGTGTGCTTGTGACGAATCCTTGCAAAAATTCTACCATCACTGTCCTGTTATTGAGGAGTTGAGAACGGAAGGAGAATTGGACACATTTCCTAATGTCTATTGTCAGTTCAGAAAATCTCAAAGCACTATACATCAAGCTGCAGTCTAATTATGATGATGATGAGGAGGAAGAGATATATACCTTTAAAATTGAGGCAAAGAATTTGGCGAGCCTTTTCATTGACGAAGACATATTGACAGATTACGAAATGGAAGAATGGATATCTCTGGTTAAAGGCAATATTCAAATTGGGTGGGAAGATTACCAGTACGGCATGGGTGGTAGAATATTCTTTAATAATGCTTTCAAGATAATGAGGGGATTGACCCATGTTATGACCCTAACCATTGGTGAGAGGAATATTGGGGTAAGATTGATTTCATTTTGGTAAACTATTTGGGATTTACAAAAAAGGTTCTCCTAGAGTTCCCTGAGTTCCATCATTTGGGATTTACCCAAATAGTTTACCAAAATGAAATCAGTCTTACCCCAGTGATCCTTTCACCTAGGGTTAGGGTCCTAGCATAGGTCAATCCCCTCATTATCTTGAAAACATTATTAAAGAATATTCTACCACCCATGCCGTATTGGTAATCTTCCCACCTAATTTGAATATTGCCTTCAACCAGGGATATCAATTCTTCCATTTCGTAATCTGTCAATATGTCTTCGTCAATGAAAAGGCTCGCCAAATTCTTTGCCTCAATTTTAAAGGTATATATCTCTTCCTCCTCATCATCATCATAATTAGACTGCAGCTTGATGTATAGTGCTTTGAGATTTTCTGAATTGACAATTGACATTAGGAAATGTGTCCAATTCTCCTTCCGTTCCCAACTCCTCAAGAATAGGATAGTTATGGTAGAATTTTTGCAAGGATTCGTCACAAGCATACGAGATGTCCACTTGCAAATTCTTCAAAGATGGGAAAGAACCTGGTGGCTCATCATCATGAACCCTCACTTTGCTCAATTTCAAAACCTTGAGATGCTAGTTTCTATATACTTCCACAAGTAGCAAGAATTTATGTTCTATGTCATGTGTAGCAATGCAAAGATGATGGAAGTGATCCTGCATATGAGAAGGATTGTGGTAAGCTTGTTGTATTTAACGGCTACAAGGCCTGACATAATGTTTGCAGGTAGCTTATTAGCTAGGTTCATGCATTGTCCTACAAAGAAATACTATGGAACAGCTAAGAGGGTTTTGAGGTATATCCAAGGCACAATTGATTATGGTATTGAATATCAGAAAGGAAAAGAAGCTATATTAATTGGATATTGCGACAGTGACTGGAGTGGAAGTCAAGATGACATGAAGAGCACCTCAAGATATGCTTTCTCTTTTAGAAGTAGTGTGTTTTCCTGGGCATCTGTCAAGCAACACAATGTTGCTCTCTCCACAGCTGAAGCTGAGTATGTCAGTGCAAGTGAAACAACTACTCAGGCTATATGGTTGATGTTTGGGCTAGAGGATTTTGGTGAATTGCAGACAGAAGCAACTCCATTGATGGTAGATAATACTTCTGCCATTGCAATGACCAGAAATCCTGATTTCCATCAAAAGACCAAGCATATCAACCGCAGATATCACTTCATTCGAGATGCCTTAAAAAGAAGATGTAGTGGACTTGAGGTACTGCAAGTTTGAAGAACAAGTGGCTGACATTTTCACAAAAGCTCTGCCTAAGGATCAGTTCAACTATTTGAGAGGTTTACTTGGAGTTAAACCAATTAACAATTTAGAAGGGAATGTTGAAATATAAATTGTTTTCTGGTTTAATCCATAATTCGACAAGTGTAAGGCTTAGATGCTATCATATTGGAGGACTTATACGTCCTAGATTTATGCCAAGTGGTAGAGCTCACATTGCTGAACATTTTGTAAGACTAAATATGCTCTTTTCCATTCATTGTAAAGGGGATAATTCCGTTGGAATGAAATGAGTGTGTGCATTGCTATATTCATTGCGCAGTAACAAACGCTCTCTCTTCTCAATGATCTCTCTATCCTCTCTCAACTTCATTTTTCTTCCTCTGTTCTAGAAACTAAGCTCTGCATATTTTCAAAATCTCATCATCAGATAGATCAGATCAGATGCTTTGAGTTTTGTCCTGTTGTGTCTTTTTTTTATTTTATTTAATTTTGTTTTGTTTTTCCCCATTTTGTTATTTACTTTGGTGACACAAATACCTTTGCTATTTGTTTATGTTTTTCCCTATTTTGAAATTGCGGCTGTGAGAAAGTATTAAGGAGTATATTTCACTATTTCCGTGAGATTGTTATATTCATTCTTGTAAGTCAACTAATAGGATTTTGTTTTAAGTGCCTGATGTGGCCCATTTGAAGTTACAACTCTCTCTCTCTCTCTCGATTTTAGGCATGCAATAGGATTGAGTAACTAAAACCCGCGGCATTTTTTGAAGATTAGTGACAAATGCAAAATACATCACATAACCACCCCAAGTAGGTGGTGGCTATGATTCAGTTTGTATAATATAATCCATCAAGCTGCTGCTATCAGAAGGAGTCACAATTTGTATGTGCCAGTACCTAAACACTCGATAATCCAATCTTCTCCTTCAAAAAAGAAAAACAAAACAACAAATCCAAGCATAACAACGAATTCTTTACTACTTGGTCCGCAAGACAAACTAGTTACCACATGACCTTGCAGAATATATAATCAAGACAGTTTTCAGCGTACATTCAATAAACCACCAGAGAATAGCGCCAAGTCCCATCTCTGGTTGATCAGCTGAAGCCTTAAGAAACCTTTCCCGGTGTCTTTGTACTTTGTACTCAGGAGCCGAGTAATTTGCATACTGAAAATGGAAAAGGCAACACTTTCATGTCACTCACTTCTGTTCTGTAGCTCCTTTTTTCACTCTGGCAAGAAACAATGTACAACCTTGATAGGTGAAGAACACAAAAATGGGGGATAGAAACTCTTGGATTTTCCTCAGGGCAGCAGGTGGAAGCACTGAAAAGGATGAAGTTTAATTGCTTTAAATCAAACCCGCACCATTCAATTTAACCACAAGCACCAAGGAAATTACTTTAAGAAAATCATTCTAAAAAGGTCAAAGTATTGACTGAACCCAAATTCAGGAAGAAGGGCAATGCAAGAACATCTACTTACCTGAAATTAGCAGGAGAAAAGACCCCAATACAATCATCAACTGATGGGTTTTGCAGAACAAAATCCCAACGTCACCCATTCTCCAGTGAATGAAACCCATTCTGCAGTGAAAGAAACCCATCAGTCAGCCCAATAAGTTATGCCTTCGCTCACAGTTGAACAATAAGAGGCAATCAAAACCAGACTTCCCTTTCAATTAGGAGTGCCAAATATTGACAAAGAGATGGGACAAAATCATCGAGGTGGCTTACCCTTAATCCTACAACTGTAGGTGAGGCTTGAATATAAGCAAGGTCATGAAGAGCAAAGGTTGCCTTCCTTATGAATACAAATTCTTGAAAGAGGCTGCTCCCCGCGCGAACTTGCCTTTTTCAAGGCTTGCAAAAACCAGTTTTATTTCTTTCATCACACACAGCATCATAATTCAATCAAGAATCTCAGAAGAAGAAACTGAATTAAGAACAAGAGAGGAAAGCCACAAACTTGAAACACAGAAAGTGGAAAAAAAAAATAGAAAGAAAAAGATTTAAGATTTAGTTTGTAGTTCAAGGGGAGAGTGATGCAGGAGTTCCAGCGATAGCAACAACCACGGAATCTAAAGAAGATTTGACCGTGCTCCCATTTGCAGCAAACAGTGCTCTGCCTTCACAGTTTTAACATTTTCAGCAAATGTTGCCGCTGTTAGATGGTTGCCAGGCTTAACAACTTTTTTTTATGCGCTCTCAATGGCATCATATGGCTAGGCATTCCAAATCCCCTGTTTTGATTGGGGCTTTCCCATTACAAAAAAAAAAGTAATTATAAATATTATTTTGAAAGGATTTTTGTTTTGCTGGGACATCTTTTGAAAGGAAATTGAATATTGCACTGAAAGGGATAATAAATCATTTATCATGTAAGGAGCCAAGCATGGTTATGTACACAACATTCAACGAACCTCTACATCCAATGAAACAGAACACGATGATGAACTGAAAGCCATGCCAAACGATAAAGGTGCTTCTCCTTGTTGGTGCAAATATTCTGCAGAAGGAAATAAAAAGACAGTTTAATTTTAAGTTTTCAAAATGTCTTGGTTGCAAACTCATTGGTCCTGGAGTAAGTTTACAAAACATGTCAAGGAGTATATTTATGCCTCAGTAATTAGCACAGTGTGCAATTTACATGGCACAGCTATAGAATGCATAAAACTTGTGGTTTACCTGGTAAATGGGACACGTCCCTTCATAACTGTGCACATAACCATATACTGCAATATCAACCTTGTACTTCTGCTACAGTTTCCGAAGGCTCTCAACTGATTCTAGGCAGTTCTCAATGAACTTGAAGTTAGATCATGTCAGCTCTCTCTCTCTCTTCATTCCACCCAGGTAAATTTAAAGAGGGACAAGGTCAATATAAAGTATGTCTTCAAAATCATCAATTCAAACTCACTACAACCTGATCTCATATATCAGTAAATTAAATAGCACATTCAAGCTCTCTTCATGGCTCTACTGCTCTATTTCTTCTTCTATCTCTCGTGGCCATTTTCTCCCCGTATCTTTGAAAAATATCCGCCAAATCAACCAACCCGACCTCCCTCAGTTTTTTCCCCACCTCCTCAAACATCTCCACCCCTTCCTCATTTGAGTAGTAATGCAAAAACTTATTATAATCAAATCTAGGCACCTCAAGTCCTCTTTTGATCACTCTCTCTACATACTTGGTGGCTTCTAGTGACTTCCCTGCCTTAACCAGACCACCAACAAAAATGGTATCAAAATTCACAAGAGGATCCGATCCCTTCCTTCCTCTCTTTCCCAAATGTCCTTGCAATAACATGATATAAGTGTGCATGTTAGGCTCACACCCCTTTTTAATCATCTCCCTAAACACTTCTGTTGCTTCACGCAATTTTCTTAACCTTAAAAGGCCCTTGATCATCCCATGGAACACGTTAATATCCGGTTTTTCAATCCCTTCCACAATCTTATATGCCACTCTAACTCTACCTCTTGCTAAAAGGCCGTAAGCCAGTGAAGCCAATCTGGAATTATCTGCTTCGATCCTTCTCTTTTGCATTTCCTCGAACACCACATGAGCTTCCTCAATCTTCCCCCTTTTACACATCCACTCAATCACAAGCCTATAAGTTGAAAGACCCAAATCATCCATCCTATTCACCCTCATCATCTGAAAAACCTTCAATGCCTCACCGTATCGATTCGTCTTGAAAAGGGGCTCCATCATTTTCTCAATGGCACCAATATCCGGGTCAAACCCTTGATCCACCATCAAATTCCAAATCTTTGAAGCCTCAATCAAATCACCCACATCACAAAACCCTTCAATCAAACACCTGTACGTAACCCCATTAGGCCCAATCGACTCCTTCAACTTAAAAACTATGAACTTGGCCTCAGCAACAAGCTTAGACCCACAAAGACTCTCAACCACCTTATTCAAAGTCTCCAAACTATAATCAAACCCATACCCATTCATGACATGAAAAAATTCAACACACTTGTTCAACTCCCTGGCCTTGGCCAAGGTCTTTAAAGCAATAAGAAAAGTCTTATCATTCACCAAACGGCGTCGTCCCATTTCATGGAGCATGTCCCAGAGTAGCTGGATGTTCCTGGCCTTGCCGATGACGTCAACCATTTTGTTGAACGAGACGGTGGTGTGAGTGAAATTGGGGTGGGTTTGGGTGTAGAGGAAGAAGAGATAGACGGGCCGCCATGAAAGAGGGAAACTGTTGCAGACCTGGAGGAAGAACTCATGGGTGAGTTGGAAGTTGGACGAGTTGAGGTGGGGGGGCGTGACGCGGGTGAGTTCTGCTGCTGGTAGAGGATGGTGCAGACTCGGAGGAGGTGGGCTGGGTTCACTGGGGATGAGGATGGGGATGGGGTGGCGAGTTGCGTCTGAGTTGACTCGGTTGTTATGAAGCGGAAGAGGTTTATGAGGGGTTTTGTGAGGCTGCTGCTTCTTTGTCCGATCATCTCTACGATTTTGGCTCTATTTTCGACCAGGTTTTGCCGCGTCTGACTATATCACTTTTTGACAACCAAAACAAACCGTATGACTTGGAACCTGACTCGGTCGGCCCAACTCAGTAGATTTGCTGCTGATTGTCAACTAGTTGGGTTGGGTCAATCTGCAGCCTTGCCTTTGTGGGCTGCAAACCAACGACTGAATGAGCCTCTGACGAGTTGAGCCATGGTTATTGGCAGCAGGCCCATGAGTTGACCACTTTTTATATAAAAATTATAAATAAAAGCTTTTATTAAACCATAACATACTAATACTGCAAAATAAATTATTTGGTCCGAAATTATAGAATAGTACGGTATCACATGTTAGCTGGTGATACTTTCACTTAAAATTCGCCATATGTATTATTTTTTTGACAACTAGATTCAACACTCATATTTACTTTAAAATTAAAATTAAAAAGATTTTTAAAAAACTTTAGAAATAAAAAAACCCAAAAACCACCCGTTTCATCAACAGTGATCCCCCACCACTGTCTTCCATGACTACTGCCTCATTCTCTCTGTGAATTTGATGACACCCCAACACATGAATGATTCCACTTTTACAATCATTAGAAAAGAAAAAAAAAATTGATTCGGCTATTGATACATAGAAAGCTATGCAACCAAGATTGGATTCCTATTCACCTACTATAAAATTTGCTTTTCTTGTCAATGATCCCAATGGCCATATATGTAGGACTTTGGAAGCTTATCAAATTCCTCAAAAACTTTTAGACTTTTTCACTTTCGCGTATGAAATTAAATAATTTCTCAACGACCATAAACCCACCCCCAACAAGTCTTTAATCTAAATTTCTTGAACCCTAAAGCCATCATAGAGAGAGAGAAATTCCATGAACCCTAAATCCATAATAGATAGGAGGGATGGAGAGGGAGAAAGATAGAGAGATTGGAAAAATGAAAGTCTCCGTATACAGAACCGCTACGTGATGTTAAAAATTTAAATTTTATAATATAAATGACATAATTAACATGTCATGAACTTTAAATATCTCGCGTTATTTAGATTTGCAAGTTATGTACTTAAATTCGATATATGAACTCTTGTTTGTTTTTTTTTTTTTTGGGTGGTCTTTGAAATCATGCACCAACGTTGCAGGTCTAACTTATGCGACATTCTTTGTGATGATATAGCACCCAATTTGGGAACATGAAAATTTGTCATTTTTAAACATCATTGAGAATATAGCAATGCCACACACCAACAATATATTCGAAGAGACATATAATTGTCCTAATAATAAAGGGCATGAAAATTTAGAAATTTATAGCCGAATTAATTTGTTGGTGAGAATGTATTGATTGGAATTTGGAAACATTAAAAGACTGAAATACCCAGAAAGCCCCTCCGACAGAAGAGCAAGTATTCAAAGGCCCTGCTCACACAAAATCACAAATTGCGCGCCTCCTTCCTAGTGCCTATTTCAAACAACCTAACGGACGGTCCAGATCTGGTCATCGGCACTCCACAAGTTGCTCGATCCTTAACAGCGCGTCCTTTCCTTATTTAAACCCGCCCTTCCCAATTTCCTCGCATCCCAACCCCTATTTTAGTTTTACCCATTCGTCGTCTTCTTCCTCTCGAAAAAGGGCACAAAAAAAAACCCAAAACCAGAGAGCTCTGCGCCACCACGACTGCCACTTTTCCATCTCTCATTTTCGGTTGATTATCTCTCTCTGAAACGAAACGATGTCGTCCCCCGAAAAGGAGAGAGAGACCCAGGTTTACATGGCCAAGCTCGCAGAGCAGGCCGAGCGTTACGAAGGTCACATTCTGATATATATTTTCTCTTTTGTTGATCGATCTTTGAGTCTCTGGCTGTGTTTATATATATGAAAAATGTTGTTATTTGTCAAAGCTGGCATTGATCGGATTGTGAGTGTTTCAGCATTGCATCGGATCTTACAGTATTATGATGAATTAACGAACACCTTTGTTTCAGTTTGATATGTAAAATTTTGTTTGCATTGGAGGAAGTTCAAAGTTTTCATTAATTTTTGCGTTTATGGAATTCAAATCTAAAGGAATAGGGAGAAATTGTGTTGAAAAAGAGTGAAATTATTTGGTTAAAATCAATAGTTGGAAATAAGTCAGTTATGAATTTCTTGCTGAAATATCCTGTTCAATTAATGATGCAGAAATGGTTGAGTGTATGAAGAAAGTTGCAAAACTTGACCTAGAGCTGACCGTGGAGGAGAGGAATCTTCTTTCTGTTGGATACAAAAATGTCATAGGTGCTCGACGGGCCTCTTGGCGAATCATGTCTTCCATTGAGCAGAAGGAAGAGTCTAAGGGGAATGAGCACAATGTCAAACTGATCAAGGGTTACCGCCAGAAGGTGGAGGAGGAACTCTCCAAGATTTGCAATGACATTCTGTCTATCATAGACAAGCACCTGATCCCCTCTTCTACCTCTGGAGAGGCCACTGTTTTCTACTACAAAATGTGAGTCATGCTGCCCTAATGGTGTACTCCAATCATTTTAACCAAAGCAACTCAACCAACCCATATTTCATTTTTTTTATCTCCTGTTATTTTGCTTTGTTATGTTTATCTATTTGTATGCGCGGAACATATTCCGAAAGGGCAAAAATTGCAAATAGATATGCTGATAAGTATTTTTCTGCCTCGCATGCAAGTGGCGCACATGTAATGGGGTCAGGGAATTTTCTCTGTTTCCTCCTTGGCCCTGCCTAACAGATAGGTTAAAGATTACTATATCCTTTGGTTCTGTTCGTGTATCCTCCTCCATGTGTGTACTGACATTCATCATATTGTATTTGAAATTAATAAAATTTTGTCGACTAATATGTTACGGCATGCATGCTTCAGGAAAGGTGACTATTACCGGTACCTTGCCGAGTTCAAGACTGACCAGGACAGAAAAGAGGCAGCTGAGCAGTCACTCAAGGGATATGAGGCATGTTAATTCAACCACTATTAAATTGACACAAATGTGCTTACATATGTTTGATTCTTTACACTCCCTATCATGTGATGTGCTCTCCTATTGCCATCTCCTCTCTCAGGCCGCTTCAGCCACTGCAAACACAGATCTGCCATCAACCCACCCGATCCGTCTTGGTCTAGCCCTCAACTTTTCTGTCTTCTACTATGAGATTATGAATTCTCCTGAGAGGTATTACTTTACATCTGTTGTCATCTTTTGATCATTTTCATTTAAATCAACTCCTGAGATGTTGTTGTTGTTACTGGAAACTTGTAGGGCTTGCCATTTGGCTAAACAAGCATTTGATGAGGCAATTGCAGAGTTGGACACCTTGAGTGAGGAGTCATACAAGGACAGCACCCTTATTATGCAATTGTTGAGAGACAACCTCACTCTCTGGACCTCTGATTTGCCTGAAGATGGAGGTATAGCACACACCTGGATACTTGATTAACATGCATTATTATTTTCACGAAAACGCATATTTACTGCAAGATTAAATCCTTCTTTAGTTCCAAATGATACAAGTTCCATTCATTTTTGAACTTACTATACAATAGAAAGACTTCGAAAGACTTGTATTTATGTTCAGCTCTTCTTTTTGTGAAACGGGTTGTTCCATGCTGTTGCTGAATGATACAGGTATTAAAAAAAGAAACTGTATGTATATATGAGCTCATCACAAAGGTGCCTGTATCTTCTCTGTACAGGCACCATCATGGTAGAAGTTTCTGTTCTGAACATAATTCAGATAGAAGAGACTTACACATGAATTCCTTTTTCTTTTTTTATTTTGTTTGCTCAGGTGACGACAATTTCAAAGGTGAAGAAACCAAACCAGCAGAACCTGCAACTGCGGCGGTAAGTGTCTTGACATTTTCTTCGGGGGCAAGGCAACTTGTTTTCACCCCCAGATTATATTAATTAAAATTAAATAAATATATTTGCAGACTTGATGGGTACTTGAAAAATAGCCCCGGCACATGGCAAGTGGAAAAGACTTTTGCAAAAGGCGACCTTTTAGCTTTTCTCACTCAGTTTTCGCGAGGGGATTGACTGAAGGACGTACACCTTTTTTTACTTCTTCTTCTTCGGTTTTTATGATATTGATCCTTCTAGGTTCCAAAGAAGATAGGAATTGATCAATTTTTATATAAAAAATTTGGATTTATGCTTTTGCTACATGTTCGTTTATGTAAACTTCTTATGTTAAGCAATGGAATGGACTTCTCGTCTTCTCTTTATTTTTATACAATCCCTCCGACCTCTCCCTCCGACTTGTTTGTCTTTCCAAATTTTGAAAAGAAGCCAAAAGGGGACGAATTGTCGTCTTCTTCTTGCTGCTTTGCTTGCAAATTGCAATCAAACATTTTTATCGGTTGGGAAATAAGTATGAACAACTACTAGTGGTTTTCTTGGAAGTCGGTGATTAGGAAATAATCTGGCAAAAAATCATAATTAAAGCTAAATTGCATAAACTTCACAAAAATCTAGCATTTCTTTTAACACCCAAAAAAAAAAACATATTTTGCACGTTTAATGTGGAATCTATATAATTTTTTCTTTCATTATGTGTTAGTAATCATAATTTTTTCATTATGGTAAGGAGAAAAATTGAAATAATTCTAATACCAATATATTAGTAAATACATGAGAAATCATGAATTGGAATAATTCTAATACCCGTGTGTTGGTAAATACAAGAGACATCATAAATGAAAATAATCTAATAACCATTTTGGGTTCAAAAAAAACATGTCATGATACAAAACGACAAAGTTATAGATTATCTTCGAAAGCTGTTAGGACTTGAGAGACGCATCCGCTTCTACCAGATAAAGAAAGCCAATATCCATTACCATTATCCACTTGCAAGATGCAGAATTTGTGCCCATAGAATATCGTTTCTTTTGTCCATGACCGGTGGGTGACCTATAGATAGAAATTTTTTAATTTTTTTTTCCTGTTCCTTTTGGCTAAGAAAGCAATGGGGGCACAGAAAAAATTTTCTTTTCTTTCCCTTTTAGGAAATGCTCATGCCGTGATCCAGAAAAATGGCCGTTGGGACTTAAAGAGATGAACAGACTCACCACAAAGAATTGAAAAGACAGAATTGCCACCAAGAGATTCTGTATGGAATAGTAGAAACAGAGGATTTATATCCAGTTTGATGAGCCAAAATCTGCACTGATATAAGTGAAAAGAGGCAAGCAAAACAAAGGAAACTCATACACAAATAACAGAAACAGGCTTTGAATCTGTTTCATTTTATAATATTATTACGTTCATATCGGTTGAGCTATGAAAAGGACCCTGACCCTTTCAAAACTGTGAAGAAACATCAAGCTTCCCTTTTGAGGTTTGGCACTCAAAACTTTTTGACAATTTCTAATTAAGCTCATAGCAAAAACCACCATGATACTATATAGTCAAGGAAAAGGACTGGACAACCACCATCCAATAACATAGATTGAACAAATAGGTTCAAACAAAACCTGTGTCTATACAAAAAAATAAATCAGCTATGGTTCTTCCTTAACGAAGAAACTTTGAGGCAAGCTAAAATCTTCCTCGTGATTCAGAATGTCCGTCTCCTCATCGTCTGGTTTCTGAAATTCAAGAGAGAAAATGGTCAAAATGTACAACATGTCTAAAGAACAACAAGGGATAGAGACATAATTAGTCCCTTGGGACCATTTGAATGTTTCATAAGGAATATTTTCAGTAATTGTTTACACCAAGTCTCACATCAAACTTCCTTGTATCGTATGTGACCGTCACCCTTTGCACCATCACTCATATCAGATAGTCTAGTATAGCTATTTTCCTTTTTCAAATATTCCATCAAGGCCTACCCTTTCACTTGATGTATGCCTAAAACCTAAATTATGCAGCTTTTTATCCTGTTCACCTATAGTGCTGTTCAGAGATGCACAGATTTTTCTGTACTTGGAGTAATTTTCTTCTTGAATATAAAGCTTATAGCTATTTAAAATCTCATATTCTGAACTTGGCATTGTGATTGAGTTTTATTTTTCCGGTCAAGTCATTGTGATTGAGTCTAAACAGACGATTATCAATGAATGTGGATATTCTGAAGTTTAACAGTTCCATCATAACATAAAGAAACTAGAAATATGGACTCTAGCAGTTGTAGAACCTCATCAGCAGAGAAGTGTCGATCAAAGCTGTGAAAATAACACAAGATAGAGTAAGGCTACGTGTCAGAAAATGGAGGTTCGCTGGAATAAGTGCGATAAAACCCACAAACAGAAATGTGAAGAAGAACAAACCTTCTCCGAAGGAATTCCATTAAACCATAAAGAACGAAATGACGATGTATGCCTGCACGTAAACGAGTTGTTAAATGCTTATCTATTTTCAACTAACATGGTAATGCAAGATCTAAAAAGGAAACTGAATTGTCTTTGATTGTCTTATTAATTACCCCTCGTGCATGAATTCCTACATATAGCTTAGCCTCCAATGTGAAAGTTTATTGCATTCAGGCAATGATTATTATATCTCCCCTTATATTATTGACTTGAACCATCAGATTTCAAATTCAATTCAGCGAAAATGATAAGCATAGTCCTGAACTTTTCCTACCATCAGTAGAAATGATAGCTTTCCCTCCAAAAATTAAGTAGCAACGAGAAATATTATCCATCCCAAGATTGAAGAATGTGATTAGACACATGCTAATTAACCACCTTTTTTTACCAACCAAAATTGATGCTTTACATCTAACCCCCACCAAAACCACTCACATAAATAATCAAAATTGGAAATCCAAAGATTAGAAACTGAATTATTAGGTTTGATTAATTCGAAAAAACCTGCCTTGTAGCTTGACGGGAGGATAAATTTCAAGAGCTTCTAACAGTCTAAGCTCCAATTCAACCTGTGATTGCTCCTATTAAACATTTAAAAAAAACATACAAAAAATAAAATCAACATAAATCTTCCATTATATGTGTAAAGAGAACCACAGAGAGAGAGAGAGAGAGAGAGAGAGAGAGGGACCTTTGGGAGAGAAGAAGCAGAGGATGGGGGAGCTTTGCATGGAGAGTGTACGGACATACCGTCTTGTTCCTCTTCTCTTCCTTTACCACCATTTCTCTCCATTGAATTCAATGATATAAAAAATTCCGAACGGGACCCTAGAGCTTGTATCAAATATTTTACTAGGTTAAACTGAATTCGGAAAGTGAAAACGAAAGCAATTATGTTCTCTCTTTTTTCTTTTCTTTTTTCAAACTTTTCTTCGCTAGGTTTTCTGGTTTGATCCAACGCCATCTCCGAAATTGAAGTGCCTATGTTGCTGGGCTTCTGGAGCAAGCTAGCAAGCAAAGCCAGCCCATGTTTTGTCCTCGTCGTCAATGGACCGTGGAATTGGACGCATTGACTTTATTGACTTGTTGAATTGAACTTGGCCCAAGGAGAAGCAAACATGTTTTGAATAATTGAGGTTCTAATGCCAAATTAATTTTGTAATTATAGTTGTGCTAAAATCAGCTGAGATTTTCAACTGTTTATAGTCTGATTTTTTCTCTTTCTAATTTTCAGAAAAAGGGCCTAAAACTCATAATTTTGTAAATGAGAACCGTACTTAAAACACAATCATTTATACATAGAATTGTCTATAAAGAGCATTTTCGCTCACCACCGATCATGTTCATTGCCATTGAATAAATTTAATTCTGAAATTTTGTAGTAGATTGATTAAATCACACTAATTCAACGTTGAAGATAATAATGGTCACCACCAAAATATCAAGAAAACCACAAGCTAACATTCTCCTCAAAATGATGAAAACAACATCAAATTTTAATTACCCCATCGACCATGGTGCCAATAATGCAAGACATGTAGGCTGACAAAGACAAGAGCCAAGTGACCCCACTTTTGTAACAGCTGCTTCAAATGCAATTGCATACGTTGGTTGAACTTCAACATCATGCGACCTCCATTTTTTTTTTTCCTTTTTCTTTCTTCCTCTTATTACATCACTCTTTCTGCTTAAATTATGCGCATGGCATAACCAGAGACAACACAAAGGAAGTGTATTTTAGTTTAATTAGAGGAGAACCTTAAGCTAGAAGACAAAAAAGCCATGCCAATGTGCCACCAATAACTCTCTCTCTCTCTCTCTCTCTCAGTTAACAGTCCTTTTCTCTATTATTGTTGGCTTACAACTTTAACAAGCTCTGTGATCTCTCTGACTCTCTCTCTCCCAAAAGCTTTCAACGCCATAACCCCCAAAACTCTGATCTCTGGGTAGTTGGGTTTGGTTCTCTGCTGCAAAACTATCCATCCACTTTCTTAAAGCAATACATTTTTGGCGTTCTGTGATAAAAGAAAATAGGAAAGAAAGAATTGATTTTTCTCTGTTTCCTCCGCTTCATACATATAATATAAACAAACCCATCTCCTCGTTTTCGACGTTCATATATGCTTTAATATCATTCAACTTACCGGTTTGCTTTGCTTACCTACTCAAAGTCCCTGAAATTCGTTGACAATCTCTCTTTGGGGGTCTGAAAATGGCTTCAGTGATCAGCCCAGTTCACTCTCCAATCCGTACTTGTCAGTTTTCTTCGCTATACTTATCATCCAATAAGATTTCACCTTCGTTTGCTCTGCTCAAGGCTCGGTCACTTTCTTCCAAAGCTTCAAGCTTGACCTTTTCGCCGTTGCCGGAGACTATAAAACCTTTTTCGCCGGTTGAACCTTCCGGCAAGTCCTTGAGATTTTCCGGGTGGAGTCAAGAGCTGAGACGGCGAGGCTCTGTTGAACCTCCGGTTGCTAAGGCTGCAGCTGCCGATGCAGAGGGTGCTGAGATTGAGAGTGCTGCTGGGTTGGACTTGCTAATCTTTTCTTTTTACTTCCTCTTTAGTATGAAATTTCGAAACTTTTTAATCTTATGATTGGTTGCTGAGAAATGGAGGGAAAGAAAAGGAAAAAAAACACTTAGTAATCGAGTTACTTCTAAAAGGTCCTGCTTTTTATTGGTTACTTTTGAACTTTTAAAAATGACCCATTTAAGATTTTGCTAGTGAAGTTTCTGTGGTTGTGTTCTTTTAACAAGACTTGTATTCATAAGTGCAGGTATGGAAAGCCTTCAAAGAGCTTTTCTGAGAAATTTCCTTTCTTGATCACTGGCTTCTTTTTCTTTATGTGGTGAGTGTTCATAATTTTTCATTCATTTTTTATGGTGATTATTTATTTATTTCAAGAAGCCAATGCAGACGTTCGTGATTTTCTGCTTTTCATTCAGGTACCTATTGAATGTCATCTTCAATATACTCAACAAGAAGGTCTACAATTATTTCCCATATCCGTAGTATGTATATCCTCACCAACTGACTTTTATCTTGAAACTCAATCAAAATTTATTCACTAAACCTCTGATTGCTTTGGTCTCACGTTTGTTTTGGTTTCTGTATAATTTTAAAAATTCACAATTAGTCGGATTTTTACCCTTTTGCAGCTTTGTTTCTGTTATACATCTCCTTGTTGGAGTGGTGTACTGTCTTGTTTCTTGGTCCATTGGCCTACCGAAGCGGGCAGTAAGTATCAGTTTCTTTCCGCAATTGTTATCCTCTCGCTTCAAGCCACAATATGGTTTCCACTAAATGCTGTACATTTTTTGTTCATCCAGCCCATTGACAAGGAGCAGTTGGCACTACTGACCCCAGTTGCATTCTGTCACGCCCTTGGACATGTCATGTCCAATGTTTCATTTGCAGCTGTTGCTGTGTCTTTCACACACACCATTAAAGGTATGATCTCTACCTTTGCATTTTGAGTAAAGATGAGAGACAATCAAGTTTACAGCAGCTTACCTTATATTTGTCCGCAGCCCTGGAGCCGTTCTTCAATGCATCTGCTTCTCAGTTTGTTTTAGGCCAACACATTCCCTTGTCCTTGTGGCTATCGTTGGCCCCTGTTGTTATTGGTAACTCTTTAATCTTTGATCTTCTTCCATTTCATTTTCTTCCTTTCTCTGACATGTTGATCATATTACTCTCACATGCCAATTATAGCATACGCATTCCCACACTTCGGTGGCAAATTATTTTAAAGCTGAAATGGCCAGAGCACCCCTCAAAATTTGAGGACAGCATAGAGCTGGTGCTCTTTTATATTTACTGAAGTTAACTTCTATTTTAGGTGTGTCCATGGCATCATTGACTGAACTTTCCTTCAACTGGCTTGGGTTTGGTAGTGCAATGATTTCAAACATTGCATTCACCTACAGAAGTATCTATTCGAAAAAAGCAATGGTAAGCATCATCTAATCAAGCCATTTTCCTTGTTTTTGGTAGTGCCGAGTAAATTCTAAAATAAGATTTCCCTTAATGGAGTTTGCACTTACATTTGATCTTGATTAATTAAAATATATTTTTTACTTCAACAGACAGGAATGGACAGTACAAATGTGTATGCTTACATTTCAATAATTGCTCTCTTGGTTTGCATCCCGCCAGCACTACTTGTAAGTCCATCTTTTTCACAGAAATTGAACTTTAAGTATTGAAATTGTTCTTAATCAACCAAAGATACTCAGACAGAACTGTTGGATGCTTTGTTTTGATGTCAGATTGAGGGACCCCAACTGCTGCAATATGGATTTAGGGATGCTATTGCCAAAGTAGGCCTTTACAAATTCTTGTCTGATTTATTCTGGATCGGAATGTTTTATCATCTGTACAATCAGGTAAGCTATTGACATGCTGCATCTAGCTCTTCCTTCAACCTAAACTATACAAAAACATGGTGTTTGATCATTAACTACTTCTGGGGTTACAATTGCAGCTTGCTACTAACACTTTAGAACGGGTTGCACCGCTCACGCATGCTGTTGGAAATGTTTTGAAGCGTGTCTTTGTGATTGGTTTCTCCATTGTTGTGTTTGGTAAGTTCTTTTACCTAAAATGTGATTGGCTTCTCTATTGTGGTGCTTGTTGTTTACCTTGTTCAAATCACATGCACCTCAGACCTTTTTAAGCAGAAGCCAGCCATCACACACTGTGTTTCTCAGTGAAGATATATTTCATTTAGCTTGATAACGCAGTTTGTCAAACAGTATGAACACGAGTAGCATTGTATTATGTCTTCATCGTTTATTGGCTCCATGTTTGGCAGGCAACAAGATCTCTACACAGACTGGGATTGGTACTGCAATAGCAATTGCTGGTGTTGCCATCTACTCCCTAATTAAAGCAAACATAGAAGAGCAAAAACGGGTAAATTATTTTATTTTAGTTCTTTAGCAATGAACTTCTTGTTCCTTTTGAAGTATTTTCGCTCGAACTCACGTGGGTGAATCTTATATCTTACATTTCAGAAGGCTGCTGCAATTTCCACCTCATAGGTTTATAGCATTGGATGAGGGTGCTAAGCACACAGTTGATGCTCCTGTTTGAATTTGGTGGATCAACGTAAGAGGCTAGTTTGTGGTGGATGCTTACGCGAAATAAAAGCTCTGAGAAATAATGAGAAAAAATAATAATTTCGAGTCACAAGCATCAGTAGATTACGAAATTGAAAAGCTCATTAGATTTTCAAATGTGTTGTTGTATTGTTACCAAACTGCAAGTGATCTCCGAAGAGACTTGATCACTTTTGTAATAGCAAAGCAAAGCCACTTTTTAGCCGGCGCTTAAAATCTCTGAATAGGTGTCTACTTTTCTTCACAGAATTTTCAATGCCATAGCAACCTCAGCGTCGCACATCCTCTCACATCTCTCAGTCATCCTAATTAGTCGAATGAAATACAATGAGCGATAATAAACGTTTAATGGACGATTATCGCAAATTAAGGTTGATTTTGTGCTACAATGCATTTTTCAACCAGCCACACAGCCAAGCCAACTCTTGGCATGCAATTGTCGTTGCACTCAGTTTAGTTATGCAATTCACGTTGCTGAAATATATGAAGAAAGAAAACCCACGAAAATAATAGCAACATAAATAAATGGACTGCCTGCGAGACATCTTGAGCAAAAAACATTTTCCTACAATTATTGGCAACACTTGAGGTTTCCTTTCCCGTCTAACAACCTACTCTTTCATTTTCCCTCAAAAAGCAAAAGAAATACATAAGAAAGAAAAAATATTTTAAAAAATTAGGATCTAGGAGGCTATTATCCTAGCATTCATCCTGCCAAGCCTTGATGGAGCACAATCAGGTAATATACAATGCGGATGAAAGTTACATAGGAACGAACATATGAGTACGAAGTGAATCACTTTCGCAATCAGATTTCCAAACCAGAATGAAGCCAACCTGCAAGCAGAAGCATAATCACCAATCAGAAATGCGGTTGATGCAAGTGACCCAGTTAGGGGCATCAAAGAAAACATCTAGTGTTTCTTCAATACCACTCCCCTCCCAGACCCAGCATGTGTCAAAATTTACCCATATCTATTAGGCATATCCAGTGCTGTAATTGAGATTAAACAGAATGTTCCTGCGAGTCTCTGAACCCAATTGAATTCTGAACCTTTTAGCCAAGGAATCTACACGATCATCACTCTCATAATCCATCTCTCGCATACATCTCCTTCTGACCTTTTTCAATGTTTCTCTTGATGGTTCAAATCCAGCATTAACCTGTCCAAACGCTTGTTAAATTCTTCACAGAGACAGCAAAATATGTACTATGAGCAAGGTGAGGTGAACCCGTCAATCACAAAAAGAATGCAGTTACCATGTCATCAATCACAGAGAGAGCAGATTTTGGATCTTTGTTGACGAGATGAGCATCTACAAGTAACGAATATGACTTCGCGTTGGGTTTGATGCCCAGACTTACCAAGTGCCCAAATACGTTTGAAGCTTCTACAGTCTGCCATACAACCATACAACTAGTTCAGTAAGGTGTTAGCATGTTTTACGTGTGTGATGCAAATGCAAATTTTGACTCTTATGGGTGTGTGATGCAGGCCCATAAGAAAATCATATTTCTGCCCCAACTGGCTCCACACAAGAAGGTAGAGAAGCTAGTCCTAAGAATATGGCACAACTGCTGATAAGGGTTAATAAGAGAGAGAGAATGCAGTTCACCTGCTTGAACTTTCCAAAAGCATACATGAGAGCATTGTAAGAATGAATATCAGGGGTCAATTCAAAGCTGGAACTAATTGCGTCAAAAGTTTGGTAAGCTCGCTCGATGTGCCAGATATTTGCGCAACCTAATATGATGCAATTCAAAGCAGCAACAGACTTGTAAGGAGGGTCTGCACGGCTTAAATTCTCTAGTTGATAATACACCTGGGGCATATCAGTATGTTTCAAGTTAGAAAGGTGCAAAAGAAAATTTCATAAAAGCATTCACTGGATATGTGTAGAACATAGTCACGTATGATACATCATACATCGCATGTCTTGTGAGTCAGAATATTAAGGTCCATATATTCATCAACCAGAATAAACAACAAAATTAAAATAATAGAATAATGGATAAGACTTAGTACTAGCAGATAGAAAGAAGGACATACTGAGTCCAAAGTTTCAAAACCTCCCTTGGAGCATGCCACAACCAAGGGATGTAAAGAGGTAAATGGAGAGAACAGTTCCTCTTCTTTATCAGAATTGCCATAAGCAGACTCATATTCATGAAGAGTACTAAAAGCTCTTTGTAGACTCCCTAGCGATGCAAGGGCACAAATTTTCCCACGGTAAGATTCTGGATTAGGGGCCTTCTTTTGGCGCAATGAGCGCCTTAAGATTGCCCATGATGCATCCAGTAGAGTAGTACTGTGCGTCCTAGCGGCAGTTGCGAGTGCCGACACAAGCAATCCTTCATCTACAGAAAGAAAAACAGCAGGTCTTGCTTGCTCACCTCTGGCAATCCATTTGGCCATAAACTCCAGGGCATGAAATGCTAACTTGTTGTTATCAACTTGCAGAGCAACTTCTGCAATATAGTTGCACATATTCCAGGGCGGACAAAGAGCTTTGTTCTGATCCATTGACTGATAACATAAAATGGAACAAACTTACATGAGGAAACATCAAGCACAATTTTCACCTCCTCAGTCTAAATATCTACGGTTTGAATCATATACCTTGCACTTGTCAATTATTGAAACCAAGATATCTAGCTTTCCCTTATCGGCACAGCCTTGTACACAATCTCTAAACACCGCCATTGACAACATATAACCAGATTTTAAAGTCAAATCTATATATTTCAAGGCCGCATCAATTCGGTCCGTTTGAAACAGCATGCCGACAACCAAGTCATATGACTCATCATCAGGCGGAGATTCGTTCCCTGTCTGCAACATCCTGATACATTAAAGTGAAACAGATTCATGAAATATGAATGCATCATTAAAGACACAGACGGCCTCAATCAGTAGTTCAACATGACAACTTTCTTCCACTAATTATACAAGTTATGACTAAATGCAAATCACCATTTCATTAATATAAGAAAAACAGATAACGCAAGCTTAACAGAATCATAACCACAATGCACAAAGAGCTGACCTTTCGAGCAATTTCTCAGCTGCATCGGTCTCTCTGGCCTGGTGCATGGACTTGAGGACGAGATTAAACGACGCCGTGTTGGGCGTGATGCCATAGTCCTCCATATGCCCGACCAGATCAAGCATGTGCCCAGGTGAGGCTCCGGTCATCAAATTGGCCCTCAAGTAATGGTTATACAAGTTCACATCGGGCTTATTGGGCTTTCCGTTCTTGTCCAGAGACCGAATCCAAAACTCGAACAGCTGCTTCATGTCTGCCCATCTCTGCGAGGTCATCCAATCTGCGAACACATTCATTAGGCTCTGCACGTCTAGGGTTTGCGAGAGGGCATGGATGCGAGAGCTAGGGGATTGGTTGAGGAACCCTATGGGGAGCAGAGACGGAGTCATGGACGAGTTGGGGATCGGGTTTCGCCAGTTCTCGTTGTACAACGGGCTTCCGGAGGCTGGGTTCGGAGGGAGAGGGGTCGAGGGGATGGGATGAGTTGGCTCGGCGAGTTGGAGCTCCTGCGAGAGAAATGAGAAGGTTGTGATGGTCTTGAATCCCGGGTTCGGGTTTAGGGTTTTGGCCAGCGTTCGCGTGCGTGCGAGGATCGCCATTTGCGTCGCCATTGTTGGAGCTCAGTGACAGTCGGAGTGGACTGTGACTAGTTTAGGGTTTTGAGGTTTGTATCATGGTCAGAAAGGTGAAATGGTTATCGAGCTGTGCGGCCCGCTTCTGGGAAGGGCAGTATGGTAATTTGAATTTTCTAATGGCATTTTAGATATTATCTGTAAACTCCAAAGAGAGTGGCACTGTGACCAATTAGTGATGTCAGTAGTATAGTCCTTTTTTTTGGGCCTAGTTTTAGAGTTCTTATGGGCTCTCAATAGAAACCACAAAAACTGCACTCTGCTCAAACTCTAGGCCCATTTTAGCTATACAAGCCCAATGTGTTGCTAATTTTCTGTGAAACCCAATGGCTCTCTCTCCAACCCAAGTGTACACCGAACCATGCTTTTGCTCTCATGTAAGAAGAGATACTTGGGTGTCGCGGTTGTATATAATTACGTTGTATATAATTCCGTGGATCTATCTCTATCGTCACGTCATAAAACATAACCAATAAAATAAGTAATACTAAACTACCTTAATGATTGAAGTTGGTAATTAAAAAATAATTTCCCTGATTATTTTATATAATTTCCTTGGCTTTTTGGTTAACTCTTTAATAACACAGTTGTCAGCCAAATTGGTTTTGCATTACAGCAAATCAACTTTAAAAACTCAGAATAAGACAATCATTAACCAGGCTTTCAAGTAAAACATTTTCACAAGCATGCATACATATCGTCTGTCAAGACTAACACAACAAACAAAAAGGCCAAGAGGGCCACACAGATCAAATCCGGCAAGCTTAACAGACAGTTTGATGAGAACATCATCACATGGACGGCTTGGATGTTGGTAAAGATCAAACGATCACAACATTTTTTTGGTTTTTCTTTTTGTTGTTGTGAATTTCATAACCGAATAAAAAGAAGAAGAAAAAGTGTTTCTTTTTCCAAGCGGTGTTAAGGTAGCAAAGGGAGACTTTGATTGATTTCATTGTGAACTTTACTGTTGTTGAAGGTTCTATTCCATTTAGGAGAGAGAGAGAGAGAGAGAGAGAGAGCATCTGCCTTTTGTTTCTGTGGTCCAGTTATTCTCCTTTGGGCCCGTTCGGAATTTCAAATCCCCAATCAAACACTTTTGAGGCTCATCCAATAAAGTCATCCAAAAGCAACCACAGAATTTCAAAGAAAACATGTATAGTGTTTCTCCTTTCGGCCTCTCCCCACCTAATACAGTTGCTTGCATTGACCCACATCATACAAAATTAAAACTTAATTACTTAACTAAACCCTTCTGATTAACTTTCATTAATGTTTCGTGATATTCGCGAGATTTTGCAGAGCACCGACGTAGTGTTAGTGTTGTTCTTCTTTCTTTCTTCCTGTAGAATGTTTTAGATATTGAATTGAATTAATATGGTGACTGGAAAAAGCATGGCTATTGGCTTCTGTGCTGTTTCAGACTGGCTTTTATGAAGAAATGCGTCGTAAGTGTCGAGTCATCACTCAATTGGTATCTTGGTGTTACCCTATTTTCAAATACTTGTATGCTGCTGCTGACATGTGTGGCATGGCTTGGGAGTGGAGGTGCATGCCTTTGACTTCAACTTCAAGCTATACGTACCGTAGGTTGAGTATGTCGACCAAAAGCCAAAATCCTATGCAGTGATTTAGGACCAAGAGACTAGGCTAACCCAATTAAGAATCAAATAAAATGAAGAGTCATTTGTTGGTCTTGGGTACTTTCTATAGGATATGTCACATGCTTAATTCATTTCGTTAGAAATCATTTATGTATGTGTGGACAACTGACCTTACGAGATGTGATTGATGAAAATTTCAACATATCATGTGTGTTTGTCAAATTTTTTGCATGCCAAGCTTTATGAGATGGGAAAGGATTAGAGAAAAGGTTTTGGGTTAGCAGCTGGGGATGATCCAGCTTCCCTAATGCCTAGCTTTCTATATAGCTTTTGGGCTGAAAACTTTTCAATGTAGTTTTAGAAACTTGGAAATAAAGATAGAGAAAAAGCAGCAGCAAATTCAATTCACCCATCTGTACACCAAAAAAATTGAATTCACCAATGTGCAAAAGCCATGTCCACAGCAGAGAAAGTGATGCATGCCAAAAATGAGATGCTTATTATGCCTGATATTCCCAATCAAGGCAAAAAATAGGACACCACACTGCTAGCTCATTGTGACAACACATAGCATAAAAGATCTCCATGAACCTCATGGTGGGGCCGCCAGAGAGTACCAACCTAACTAGGTTAAACCAGGTTGGGTTAACTTTTGACCACCCACTTGAGTTTAAGACCGTTCACAAACAGTCAAGTACATGACAAAAGCCGTCAGCTTGCTCAGCTCCCTAGAACACTCTCCCCTAACAGATATAAACTACATATTATAAAGCAGAATTCTGCCACATAATGTAAAAAACAAGCTTAATTAAAAAAAGGTTTAAAACCATATCAAATACAGATACCCACCGTCCTTCTCTCTCATATTATTTGCCTACTAGAAATCTCCATTCTGTACATCACAGCACCCTCTCTCTCTCTCTCTCTCTCTCTGTACACACTCTCTCTCTCTGGAGCCATCTTCATTTCTAGCTCAACCAACTATCATTTTCTCTTAATCTTGCATCAATCATGGCTGCTTTAGTGTATATAGTGATTTTATTGGCCCTGACTGGCCATTCAAGTAAGCTCACCTGGATTGTGCTTTAGTGTATATAGTTCTTTTTCTTTATTTTCCCGATCTTAGTTCTTAGATGTGAAGGCTGTAGATCATTGCAACCCTTTAATTCCCATCAAGGAAGAGCTTCTCCTAAGTGAAAAAGTTTTAATCTTTCTTCTCTTTTGTTTTCTTGCTCTGTTTTCTCACCCCATCTGTAAATGTCTCTGATAACACCTTTACTTTGTACATTAGAGCTCATGTATGTGGCCAAAAATTGTTCTTGAAAGTGCCTTTCTTTCTGGTTTTCTTGAAAGGAAAAAGTATTTTCTTTTATCTGGATTTAATGCTTTCATTTTCTTTGAAGAAAATTGAACTGATTTCCTTGCCTTTTCTGGGCTAGGTGCTACTTATTGCATATGTAAAGATGGAGTTGGTGACTCGGCCCTCCAGAAGGCACTGGATTATGCTTGTGGAGCTGGAGCTGACTGTTCTCCTATCCTTCAAAGCGGTGCGTGTTACCAACCCAACACTATCAAAGATCACTGCAACTATGCTGTCAACAGCTATTTCCAAAGGAAGGGCCAAACTGCACAGAGCTGCGATTTTGCAGGCGCTGCTACACAGAGCCCAACTGCTCCAAGTACGTTCAATCCTTCTAAGCCTCTCACTTGCTTTGAATTATTTTTTTATTTTTTTATTTTTTCTTCCTAATCACTGATTTTATTTTTCTGTGTTTTTTTCCTTCTTGGTGATTAACAGCCTCAAGTTCCACTTCCACTTGTGTTTATCCTTCAAGTACCAGGTAGTTGTCATAGTTTTTATGTCTGATATTGAATCTTGACTTAGCAAATTTTAATGAGCATTTTGTCAAATGTCTTTAAATGCATTTTTCCCATTTTCCCACCTACTGGAAAGAAAAAGAAAATACCAAAAAATTAGAAAACCTTGCTTTTGGAACAGAGTTCTTAGTTAAAAAGCTTTCTTGTTCTACATATGTGGATTTATTTCCTTTGCCCAAATATTGTTCTCCCGCAAAAATTCCTTTGTTGATGATGGTTGATTTGAATTTCATCCCATTGTCAAGAATCTAGCTCCCCTGTATTTTCTTTTAATTTATCTGGGGGTTGATGGTAGGTACAACCTCTCACTCCGTACTTGAATGTTTGTTCTGAATAAGCATCAACAACTGGTAGAGTAATTTTCAAGAGTGTTCATGAGCATTTTTGGGGACAGTCATTAAGAAAAGTAGATCTACCAGGCCCCTCCATTAGTTAACTTATTGTCTTAGGTTGATTTCACAGACTCACAGCTGTGAGCTGTAATTTAGAAGATATATCGTAAGCTCTTTGTCCTCTTTCTTCCTACATCTTGACATCTCGATCTCACTGATCTCAGCTTGACATATGTTTTACTACACATGCCACTGTAATTAAGGTCCCCTTTGGCCTTTGCTTACTTTGCAACATGTTTAATCTTTCAGCTTGTATTTGTAATTAGCAGAAAATTAAATTATCACCCTTAACATAATCTTTATATTTTATTATACCATGTGTTGGATTGAATCTGGGTTTTGTTGTTGTTCATCTCTTTTGTTCAGCCAAGCAGGAACTGGCTCTACAAACTCAACCACAACTCCAAGCACAACTCCAAGCACAACTCCAACAACAGGCACTCCGACAACAGGCACAACTCCAATCACGGGAACCACTCCAACCACGGGAACCACTCCAACCACAGGAACCACATCTCCCTCATCAGTGTTTGGGATAAGCCCCACCGGGAGTGGCAGCCTCACTGACAATACTGGTGGTGTGGCTTCTATGAAAGGCACAAACTGCTTGTTTTGCTCTCTGGCTTCAACTCTCTTCTTCTCAGTGTTTTTGCTGCTGTGGGGTTGATCAGCTAAAGGCTAATGAGCACAAGGGAGGGAGATACACATTCCGTTTAGATTATGTGGATTATAAAATTTTACCATGGTCAGGAATATGGGTGGGTAGGCATGTAATATGACATTTGGGTTGTTTAGGGAATTGGAAAACATCTGCAAAGGCAAAAACCCCATTAGGGTTTTCTTTGTTTTTGCTTTTGTTTTTCTTCCTCGAATGTGAAAAAGCTGGGAATTCGATTCCATTTTGAGTGGTGATATATATATATATATATGACTGCTAGTGCTGCCTATATGGTGCGGGGTAGGCAGAACCTGATCTCTTCTTTTTAGATTTTTCCTTTTGTATATGTGTATGAGAGCCGAGAGAGGCAGTATTTTTTTAATTTAATGGAACTATGCTACCCCTACCACTATACCCATCATGTCATATTATTTGGTAATTTCCTTCGTTAGCTTAGTGATTAAAAATCGTGTCATATTATTTGGTAATTTCCTTCGTTAGCTTAGTGATTAAAAATCGTGTCATATTATTTGGTAATTTCCTTCGTTAGCTTAGTGATTAAAAATCGTGTCATATTATTTGGTAATTTCCTTCGTTAGCTTAGTGATTAATCATATATCCCGTGCATTCGAGGTCTTGTGTTGAGAGGTGTCACGATCACCTGTCAGTTAGGCCTCTTTCTTAAGCCCCAATCACTTTTATTAATGCCTTATCATTTTGGCTTACCATCAACTTACGTATCCTAGTGCTGCAGCTGCACTACCAAATTTGTGGCCGAACTTTGTTGGTGCATCACTAGCCAAAAGAAAAGGGAGAAAGGGACTCGCTTCCTTTTGGTCGCATCTATTCTATCGGTTCAAACTCATAAATTTGGTCGATTTTATTTTATTATCTAATTTAGTCCAACTTGTCAAAAGTTCTATTTATAATTTCAAATAAATACAAGACAGCCGAAATTAAACCAAAAATATTAACTTTTCCACCGTCAAATTCATAGAAAATTGATTAAATTGAATTGAACTTGTCCATTAATTAAAAAATAAATAAAAAATATATAACTTAAATAGTAGAGCCTAAGTGTAGGCTAGCAATGGTCCCGGAATTATAACAAAAGAAAAATCATCAAGAGAATCACATGTATTTGCTAGCTAAGAGATGATGACTTACAAAGAGAACGTGTATGTTATATCCGTACATCTCATTTTAAAGGGATAATGCTATCACTATAACTAGTAACTAACTGAATAGGTCTTGTGTTGAGAGGATCTACCGCAGCCTCACTAAATACAAAATCAAGTATTCTATATTGCTTACTCTTCATATTATAAAGATGTAAATGGAATGTAGGGTGGTCGACTTCCAACATTCCATTAAAACAGAGTTCTAGCTCACCTGTGTGGATTGTGCCCAAAGCTTGAACGGAAGTTGCTTCTCTTAGCATCTCACTGATAGAAATAGTCTCCTTAACCCACACAAGGTTTTGGTAGTCTTTCAAAATCCATAAAACTATCTTGTAATGTTTCCACGACTTGCCAACAAGCACACCCACACATCCTCCCACCTCAACTACACTTGCAAAGGCCTTGGAACAAGTATCGAAAATATCATTATACTCTTGAGAAAAATCTTCTGGTAGTGGCACCAATCTGAAGCTCTCCTCTCTAACGTCAAATACAACTATGGTTTTTGGCCTATTACTGAACCAGTGTATGGCCCCATTGACGCACACACTTCCAGTACTTGATGTGCCTGTGTGTAGGGTCCATATCTCCATAGCAGGGTCTACCTGCAATGGCCTCCCCGAAGAATCCCTACCGAGGGTGTATACGTTCAACCAATGATGCCATTTTCCAAGTTCCCAAGATCAGATGACCTGGAGAACCTTATACTCGTTGGTAAGGGGAGTGAAGCCAAAGTGATACGCATCAAATCCACGGGTAATTACATGGGGAAGTTGAATGGACTCTCTCGAGTAGTAGGGTTAAGTCTGAAAACAGAGCCACACTTAAAGAATGAACAAACCAAGCCATGGACGCTCTGCAGTTTATGAACATTAGTGTTGTAATGGTCGAGAGCTATGCACCCAGTCCGGTATGAAATTTCTGCGAGGGGTGTTGGAGTTAGAACCTTATATTTATTCCCTCCTCCTTCTCTTTGTTGCTCCTCCTCCTCTATTTTTGAAGAGAAGAAGCGGTTACCGTTTTTGAAATTGAAGATCAAATTCAGTCATTGTATTCATATAGGGTCAAGGAGTGTAGCTGTAAAAAATCATCAAAATCGGAGTTAAAATAACCGTTAAATCATGATTTTTCATTTATAACCGTCGAAAAGTTTTGTCCTGTTACTTGATCTCTGAATGTTTATTTTTTCCGATTTTTGGCGCATATGATCTCGAAGTATAAACAAACAAGTTTGACAGTTGGATCATTGAAACTAGTTTCGTAGAATGCGTATGCCATCAAAACAATATATTCACTAACAATTAAGAATTTATTTATACTTTCGTTAAATATAACATAAGATTTTGTGGTATCCACTAGTGTAAATATTTTAAATTGAAGATCAAATTCAGTCATTGTATTCATATAGGGTCAAGGAGTGTAGCTATAAAAATCATCAAAATCAAAGTTAAAATAACCGTTAAATTATGATTTTACATTTATAACCGTCGAAAAGTTTTGTCCTGTTACTTGATCTCCGAATGTTTATTTTTTCCGATTTTTGGCGTATATGATCTCGAAGTATAAACAAACAAGTTTGACAGTTGGATCATTGAAACTAGTTTCGTAGAATGCGTATGCCATCAAAACATTATATTCACTAACAATTAAGAGTTTATTTATACTTTCGTTAAATATAACATAAGATTTTGTGGTATCCACTAGTGTAAATATTTTAAATTGAAGATCAAATTCAGTCATTGTATTCATATATGGTCAAGGAGTGTAGCTGCAAAAAAATCATCAAAATCGAAGTTAAAATAACCGTTAAATCATGATTTTTCATTTATAACCGTCGAAAAGTTTTGTCTCGTTACTAGATCTCTGAATGTTTGTTTTTTGCGATTTTTGGTGTATACAATCTTGAAGTATATACAAACAAGTTTGACGGTTGGATTGTTGAATGGTGTGTGTATATATATATATATTTATTAAGTAGCTTTAAAATTATTTAAAAATATATATTGTATTTTAAATACACGTGAAACTATCTTATTGGAGATGTGGGCTCCACATATATGCCACATCAATCAACTAATGGAGTTTTTAAAAAATCACTTAAAATTCATAAAACTTAAAAATGAAAAAAACCAAGGGTTTAGGGTTCATAAATGGTCCTCAAGGTCAAAATCCTTCTGCATATAAAACATGTTATTAGTATTTATTTTGTAACTTAAACTTGCTACATATTTTCGTAACTTTATACACTTTTCAGATGGTTTTAAAACCTCAACATCGCGTGGGCACCTTTGCTAGTAGTAAACGAAAACCCAATTTTGTGTATTTGCTTTTGTTGTGAAATAGGGGTGGGCATCGGGACCGGAAAACCAAAACCCTGAGCCGAATTGGATAACTGGAAGAAAAATCGGTTGACTAAAAAAGGCTACAAATCGGATTGAATCAGACCGATTGTGTATTATTTTATTTTTTATAAAAAAATTATTTAAATCTGATGCTACATTTTTAATCTCATAACTAATATTTCCTGAAGCCCAACTTCAAACTTCTCTTTTCTATGCCCAATATCTCTCTTTGTATAGAATTGAATCATTTGTTAATTTTCAATTCAAAAAAATAAAATTTTAGTTGAAATTTGTATAAAATAATAATAATACTAATCCGGTCCACCATTGGAAAAACCGAAAATTGGACTGAAATTGGTTCAAATCGAACCGGCCGATTTCATAATTTATGTTTATTAAAACTAGACCGAATTAGACCGGTTAAATAGTATCGATTTCAGTTCTAATTTGAAGTGAAAACAGAACGAACTAGACCGTGCCCACCCCTAGTGAGAAATAGTGGTTACATTTACATTACTAGTCTAGGAGTTATTTTCCTAACTAAAATAGTAAACGAAAACCCAGTAAAATACTCGTATTATACATTTTGAGTGGTTGGTTAGCATTTTCCCGTTTAATACTCGTATTATACACGTACGAACGTATTTTTCAAAAATATTTAGGTTTTTTGTACACTTTTTAAAAACTCAATAAAATACACTTTTTAAAAATCAAACATACAATACACGTATTATAAACGTACATACGCATTCTTCAGCGTTTAATACACGTATTTTTTGACAAAAGTTTCACCTTCCTTTTGCATGAAATTGGGCCATTTGTGAATTTTTAAGCCCAAAAATTTGAAATTTTCATTGAGTTTTATAATAAACACAATTTTATAAATTCAAAACTAAAAAAAAAAAAATTTCAATATTATACAGCGGCCAAATTTTTCATTGAATAATGTTGAATAGAAGAGAAGAAAATTCAAAAGCAACACAAATTTAGGTTGGGTTGGGACGCATCCAGCTTCACCCAACACGATGAGGAGGCTTTACGCCCGCCATAACATAAGTTAAGCTGGCACAAAAACTGCAACTGCAACTCCGGGCAGGCAGGCATCGGCGGACAAGACCCACTGATGAGGGAGGTTGAGGCTGGGTACGGATCCAATGAGTCTATCCCTAGCGGAGCAACAAGACCCACTGATGAGGGAGGTTGAGGCTGGGTACGGATCCAATGAGTCTATCCCTAGCGGAGCAACAAGACCCAGTGCTGCTCCATTACGTCGATGCAGCATCTCAAAAGTTGCAGAAAGCTCGTCGATTTCATGGAGGTAAGTTAGTTTTCAATTTATCCTTTTTTTTAAATTTGGATTTTTCACTCTGATTAAGATTAATCAACCAATCTCTATTCAATTTAAAAGTTTGGATGTTAATTAATATGGTTTGGTTGATTGATGAAGGCGATTAATTTTCAACTTTTGAACTTAAAGGCGATTAATTTTCTCCAGTATCTAGTCTAGACACTAGAGGAAGGGATTTCCTAATTGTTTCTTTTTACAACCAAAAAAAAAAAAAAAAAAAAACTGATAAGCTTTTAATTAATTCCTTTAATTCTTATTAGGATTTCCTTGTTCATGTTGGAAAATGGTTTCCGTATTCTTAGAGGAGATTTTTTTTCAATGCCTTTTCCTTGTTGATGTTGGAAAATGGTTTCCTTATTCTCAACGGAGATTTGTTTTCAATGCCTTTTCCTAGTTGATGTTGGAAAATGGTTTCCTTATTCTTAAAGGAGATTTTGTTTTCACTGTCTTGTTGTTTTAAATAAGGAGTTCACTTCACTTCTCCTCATCATCAACTGCTATCTATCGAAGCATTCTTCTCTGCATCACAAGCATACAATTATACCCTGCTGCAGTTTCTTTCTTTTTTCTTCTCTGTTCTGGTTTTGCCTTTTCCTTGTGTTTCGAATTCAAAATTAAAGTTTCATAGCAAAGAATTCATTTTATGTCCACTTTTAAGTTTGATAAGGACCCCTGTCGTCGTAGGACCACGGCTGTCAGCTTCAGCAATGGGGAATGGGCAAGTTATCCAGCACTTGTCTTTTTGATTCTGGATAAGTTATTAGAACCCATTGACCATGTCCGTTTTGCTGCCGTCTGCAAGAAATGGCGTTCTATGTCCAAAATCTATAATCAGGCAACGCAGCGGTGGCACAACAAACAACTTCTCCCCATGCTCTTGATCCCGAACCAGGACAAAAACAACGACCGAAGAGTATTGTACAGCATTTCTGAAGGAAGAATCTACAACAATATTCAACTGCAAGTTCCTTTTAAGAGGAGGTGTAGTGGCTCTTGCCATGGCTGGTTTGCCACAGTTGATCCAACAGACCAAGGTGTAGTGACCGTAACACTCAGGAACCCTTTCACAAAAGCAAATCCCATTTATCTCCCTCCCTTGAATGCCCATGTCTCAGTTTATGGACCATCCTACTTTGAGCATTATGTTCCTAAGGTTATCTTGTCCACTGACCCCACTCTGAATCCGGAGAATTACGTGGTTGTAGCACTTTACCGTTGCTGGTTTGAGTTGGCTTTCATCAAGGCAGGCCAAAACTCCTGGACCTACGTCAACCCTGCTGGAACTTCATATGGTGATGTAATATTCTATAAAAGCCAATTGTATGCAGTCACATCATTTGGAGCGATTGGGTCATTGGATATTTATGGTAGTGATAGTAATAACCCTTCACAACCACCATCGATAAAGCTACTCACACCTCGAAAGCCATTCCGATCTTATTGTTTTCATGCATATCTTGTGGAATCAACTGAGGGAGACTTGTTGCATATACTAAGATATTATGTGCCAAAGGACGGTGCTTTTAGGTTTTGTAATAGGCAGACACTGGGATTTGCGGTTTACAAGTGGGTGTTGAACGATGAAGAAGAAGGAGGTTCTATTGCGCACAAGGTTGAGGTAAAAAGCATTGGAGATGAGGCTCTGTTCGTGGGCGACAATCATTCAATCTCTGTTTTGGCTTCAAACTTTCCTGGATGTCAGCCAAATTCCATATATTACGCCGATGATTTCCTATCAACTTCTCCTTTGTCAGATGGTGATGAAGCAAATGATATGGGGATTTTCAACTTGGAAGACGGAACCATCACGCAACATTACTCAGTGAAAACCAATACTCAAAGAGCTATTTGGGTTGTGCCACCTTTTAATGGACTATGTTAGTCTAGCCTCTAAATCATCCTACTATTCATTGAGCATTGCCTTGACAAGTTAGGATGTTTTTGTAGATTTTTGCTTTATTTATTACTGTGTGCCAATTGGGTTTTTTTTTTCAAACTGAGCTTTTCATTTTCATTTTTTATTTATTTTAATTTAAATAAAGTGTGAATGTACTATTTTATCCCTATTTAATAAAGTGTCTTATATTTTGTATTTTCATTAATCATGGGCAATTGTGGGGATTTTGAATATTTCACTTTTAAGGCCTTCCACCTTCATATATATAGAAACATCATATAATTGGAACTGTTTGTTTTATGTGTCACACAACTTAAACAATTATGAACTAAGTAACTGGAAATTTATTTATTTGTTATATAACTAAGGGAAAATTGTAGAGAGAATTGAAAAGTAGAGAAAGACAATAGAAATTGTTCAATCAACTTGCATATCTCATCTTGATAAGCCCTCTTATTTATAGGCTTACAATGGCAAGAACACATTAACAACTCATAAGTTACAAGCCCATAACTATGGTATTTAGTGCATAGGTTACATAGAATTAGAAAGGGTGAACGCTAAGAGGTATGGTGGTCATCCACCAACTCATGCATTTACAACACTCCCCCTTGGATGTCCACCATACAATTGACATAGTTGCCTTATTAAAAACCTTGCTCGGAAAACCCAGTGGGACAAAACCTAAGTAAAGGGAAAAAAGTGCAACATTCTTCTGGATCATTGATATGGTGTTGGACACGCTTATACTGCCTCATTAAAATCTTGCTAGGAAAAACCCAGTGGGACAAAACCCTAGTCGAAGGGAAAAGAGTACAGCGCGCATATAATGCTCCCCCTGATGACGACAAACTTGAATTATTTGAAGATGCAATACAAATGATATTGATATCTCAATTTCCTCTTGCAGGGTGAACTTTGGTAATACTTGTATAAAAATTTCTTCAATATCATCATTGGAGGATGTATGTGTGTCATTCCTTTGAATCCCTGTTGAGGTTAGAGTAATACAAAAAATATCTAGACTATTTTCACAAATCCTTTTACATTAACAATTCTTAAAATAACATCATATTCTATAATATCATCAAAATAATAATATAAGCAAATTCATACGTTACTGTTACGATGATAAAAGTATAAAATTGCATGATGTAAGATGTTATTCATATAAATTTTTGTATACTATGCTACCTTGTCATAGGCTCTTCAAGAGACCTAAATATTCTGATAACTTCTTTTAAAAATTTGAATACGTTGCAACAATTTTGAACTTGAATTCGAATTCATAACTCAGTCAATAGCCTCACTTGAGGCAATTAGATCATTTTCATTTCATGAAAATTGAGTATAGACATTGAGTTTCAGGCTCCTTAACTTCTTAGAGATTTACTTTCAATAATTTATATAATGTATGACATTTTACATCTCTTAGAATTTATTCCAATGTATTCTTCAAAAGATCGCTTCTGGCGATATGCTTAACTTCATATCTCTTTATATTTTTCATCTCCAATTCATTTATTAAATCAGGGGAATCCTTTGTAAACTCTTCAAGAGTTCTAACAAAATTCTTTATATATATATATATATATATATACTGCAATGATGGTAAATTCATTTCCAAATTATTTATATATCCCTTTTGTAATAGATATTCATTAAGATAATTATACCATATTCTTCCACAATACTTTAATCCACACAAGGATCATTACAAGCCATCATATTTTAATCATTTGCTTCAGGCATTCTGAATCCTTCAGGAATTTTTATACACATGAATTTTTCATAAATATGCATAACATAGCTGCATATGTTTACCATCATAATCTCGTATCTTTACTGGGAAATGTTGTGCCATATCATCAAGTGATTTATTTCACTTCATTCAAATACCAATTTGTAACATATACATTTTTATATCCTTTTGGTGTTTTAACTATAGGTTCAATCATTGCACTTTTTCCGGAAATATCCAACTTTACTGGACTGCCTCTTCCAGTTGGCCAATCTTTATTTACATTTGTCGACAATTATAACAAGTGGTGCAATATCATCATGTATAGCCCTTAATAACATTAGTACGTACAACAAACCAATATATCATCAATTCACGATCCCATGATTCTCATGTGCATATGCATGCATAATTTATAAGCATATCATTGCTTTCATTATTTTCTGGTACCAGTGCCACTTCAGAGGCTTTCATTGTCACTTCATGGACAAATATCTCTTCTAAAATGTATAATTTATAGAATGTGAATCATAGCCTCTTCTAGAGTGTTATTTTGAATATGGCTTAAACTTTGCAATTAATCTCATCTTCTGAGGAGTTAAGTCTTTTGAGCCTATAGATCTGTCATGCTTCAGGCATTTAATAGCTTTTATGGGGAGTTTATTTTTTGCAATCTATAAATCTATCATGCTTCAGGTATGCAACAAATTGGCTATTAGTAGTCACTTACTTTGTGTCTGTATATGTTTCTTGTCATTTGACTTACAATCCTTTTTGTATTTGAATATGCTTCTGACATTTATCTTCTATATCAATTTGTTTGATGAGACAATAATAAATACATTTCATAATCATTCACGGCTTTCTTTGTTCTTTCAGGAACAACTAAATCTCCCCCTAACGACAGGAATTTTGGTCTCATCAAAATAATACCAAGAATGTCATAAGTATTGTCCTTCGGGGACCTTAATTCATGTTATAAGTATTGTCCTTCAAGAACCTTAATGCATTCGACGTGCATCATATTAATATTAACATGTTAATGAGTTGTCCTTCTGGGACTTTAATTTATGCAGTGTATTTTCAATGTATTTAACTTGCAATCCTCATAATTTGCATTGTATTTAATCATTTAGAAATAGATACATATCAGGATGATTCAAGCCTTTCCTCTCGAATGATCTTTTATATGTAATCCAAGTCATTCTTCTAGAATGATATTTTGTACATAATGCAAGTCGTTCTTCTGGAACACTCTTTTGTACATAAAACATGTCGTTCTTATGGAACGATTGCTTACATGCCATTCTTCCAGAATGGTCTTATCTTCTCATTTTGTGCTTTGAACTACTGGTTCAAATTACGTATAAAAATAATTAAAATTAAGAACTAAGGAACTCGAAAGTTCCAATTAGAATTTGGTTACAATATTTTGATTCCATTGTGGAAAACATGATAAATATATAATTTTTCAAAAAAAATTGATTCTGAACTTCAGGTTCAAATTAAAACATCATATATGTTATGCCAGAACTACAGGTTATTGACAATGTATGAACTGCAGGTTCTTGATAATGTATGAACTTCAGGTTCATATTAATATTAATCTCAATAAAAATGATGAACTTTGGATATATATTTACATATATCTGGAATTTCAGGTTCGAATACATATATCAAATTTAAAAAGGATATTTGGTTTTTAACTTCAGGTCCAAATTTGTATTAATATGATATTTTTCAACATAATAAAATAAAATGATAATAATAATAATAATAATAAATTAGAAAACATGAAATCCAAATAATGTCGAAACTTCAAGTTCTTAACATGATGTATAGTTTTCAACCCAAAATCATAATACATATGAACTTGTTGAAATATCAATTTGAAGGTTGACACAATTAGAACTTCAGGTTCTAGAATTTTTTTTTTTTTTTTAATTTAATGCACATGCGGCCAAAACTTACAGTTTAGATTAGACATAATTAGAACTTCAAGTTCTAAGATTTTTGAACTTCATGTCGTATTAGGAACTTCAAATCCTTAATTATAAATTATTGAAATGAAAACAAAGAACTGAATACAAGAAGAAAAATAAAATAATAATAATGAAGATACTGTAATAAAATAAACTATTGGAACTTCTGGTTCCAGTTAAAGAAAATCAAAGAACTCCAGGTTTTGTTTTGGTTGCTAAGAATTGCATAACTCCAATTCCTTGTACAGATATTATATGGATTGAGAACTAAGAGACTTCAGGTCTTTATTTAATTATATAAGAATAGTTTAGGGACTTCAGGTCCTCGCGTAAAATAACAAAAAAAATGAATCCAAAGAAAAGAACCAAGAAAAAGTGAAATACAACAAAAATAAAATAAAATATTACACTAAAATAAATTGTTGAAACTTCTTGTTCCAATGAAAAAAGAATCAAAGAGCTTCAGGTCTTCATTTATCTTTTAATAATTGGGGAACTTCAAGTCCACAAATATTTATGTTATAAGG